TTTACAAGAAGTCGAAAATATCACTTTTACCAAAAATATTCACCCAAATTAGAGAATTAAAGATATCATTACAAAATGAACAAATCTGAGAAAGGTCCACATGTAGTACCTATATATGTAATATTAAAGCAATTGGACTTGCGGTTTTTAACAAGAAGTCGAAAATACCACTTTGTACCAAAAAATGACAAAAATATTCACCAAAATTAGAGAATTGAAGATATGATCATGAAATGAACAAATCTGAGAGGTCTACCCAAGGTACATATACACCAAGTATCAAAGCATTCAGGCTTGTAGTTTTCAAGAAGAAGTCGAAAAAGTAAAACATTGACACGAACGACGGATGCCGGACAATCACTCATATGATAAGCTCCGCTCGACAAAGTCGACAACAGAGCTAAAAATTGGAGCCTCATACCTACATCGGATTTTAATCAGATTGCCCATCTCCCCCACTTGGTGGCGCCAGTTATGCTGCTTTCAAATGTTAAAGCGGGAAATTTCAAATACAAATTTGATTATCGTTATTCCAAAGATTAAATTTCGTGAGACAATACAGCAATATTTCACTAAAATATGTGATCAAAATGCAGCTTAAATTGTAAAAAAGTAGTATCAAGTTCTGTGTATAAACCACTAGTGTAAAAAGGCGGAGGAGTGCTATTTTACCCAAAATTTGCTAGTAAGGCATACGATACAGGTCTGAAACAGTGCTTCCTGTGACGACAACGCCCCAGGTGTATCAAGAGTTTTGAGGACAAACATGTACTATGCCTTGTCATGCAGACCAATAACAATTTTAGAATAGATATGATTCAATTCAAATTCTAGATGTATTTGGCACTTGTTAATACAGGGAGTTTTTTGAACAGGGGCCCCCCCTTACCCACTTGGTGGTGCTGCTAAAATGCAGTACTCCCTCTTTTTCAGTTTTTTTTTCTAGAAAAACCCCTGTTAATACAAAGAATACTGTACAACTTGGCATTATAGACTGTTGGACAGCTGCATAGATTTCACACTAGGACCCATGTTATTAGATTGTTTTCTCTGGTAAACCAATCAGTATTGTTCAAAGCGGAAGGGTTATCACCTGTGCGAGAATTGAGTCCTAAACGACAATAACAATACACGCTAAGAATGCAAAGGCTTATGAGTAAACGCTTGTTTGTAAACAATGATATGCTATGGCTACCTGACGCATGCGTAGGTGACAACTCCCTTGCTTTAAATAACATGTAGTTCAAAAATTAATAAAGGTTACAAATTCTGCCTTGCGGCATTAATTACAGAGGGATTGGGTGATTTTATGACACATGGTTGTTTCTACTTGGTGATGTCGGCATCATTTTGTATGTAGTGTGGATACCAAGAATATTGTGCATGAAAGACGTGAATACTTCATAAACATTTTACATGTTTACTACAAATGAAACAGACCGTAAGTTGTGATCACCACAATAGATGTGTCCTCTAAGTCAATATAAGTGTGCCTTCTAAGTCAATATAGATGTGCCATTGACGCACAGAGATTTGCTGGAACAGAAAATCATACATTGATAAAGCGGTCTTTTTCTTTACTATATAATAGTTATAATTTGAACAAATTTAATTCACATTATCCAATAAAAAAAGAGGGCTACAATATTTTTTTTGAAAATTGACTTTACAAGCAGTCACTAAACTGACTCAAATTGATTTTGGATAATCCCTACAAAATCAGTGCTATTAGAGGGCATACTGACTACAATAATAACAAGCCATGGCACAGTCCCTGTTAGTTATCAAATTTAAGATATATAGTTTTGTTTATAGTAATATAGCTGGAATATAACCATGTCAGGAATATAATTTTTTTTAACATTAAAATGATTGACATTTGTATCTGATTGTCAAACAAGTATTTGTTCATATTGAGAGATATGGAACAACATTCAAAATCAGCCATTTTGAATACGTGTATATATACAACATGATGTATAACGAATATATAAAATTTAAATATAATAAGTCAAAGCATT